TTTCACAGGCCAGGCCAAGGTTAAGGCCTCAGCCAGGTAAGCCCCGCAGAGGGAACCTGATGAATTGAGGGAGGAGCCGAGTCTTGCCGTAGGGGACCTTCTTGGTGTCTGAAAAGGGACTGAGTTGGTCTGAGGGAAGAGTTGAGGTGTAGTGACCACATCAGGAACCTCATGGCTTCTCTTGGGCTTCCCCAGCAAGCAGGCCCTGGTGTTCCAGTGTGTGGGTTGTGGAGCCTTCTACCTTCAGCGTCTTGGCAAAGCATCAGGAGACCCTGGTGGCAGGTGAACAAGGGTGTTTTGGATTGGAAGGATGTCTAAGGTCTCCCTCTTCCAGCAGCCTCTCCTCAAACTGCCTTTCTTTACAGGGTCAAGTTCTCTGCAGCCTGTGGTCCTCCAGTGACCCCTGAGTGTGAACACTGTGGACAGCGACACCAGGTGGGCCCAGATCAGAGAGACAGTGGACCAGGGTCCTAGCGCTCACGCATTCATGCCCCTTGCTCATCTGTATGCCATGTTTTCACAGCTTGGAGGCCCCATGTGGGCAGACCCCATCCATGACCTGGACTTTGTTGGCCGAGTTCTTAAAGCAGTGACCACTAATCCTGGCCGCTTCCACACCTCCAAGCGGATCCAAGGTGTCCTGAGTGTTGTTACTGAGGTATGAGCTGGATGGATATAGGGAAGGGACCCCTACACAGGGAGGGTACCCTTGTGTGCCCGCCTTCCTTCCAGCAGCCCATGATGCTCCATGCTTACCTCTCAGGAACTTCCCGACGTCCCTCTCTACTACACACTGGACCACCTGAGCAGCACCATCCACTGTAACACACCCAGCCTCCTGCAGCTTCGGTGAGGGCCTTTGGGGGCAGCTTGGACCATCAGAGTCTAGTGTGTGCCTGGGGCAGAGCTGAGAGGCCATGAGCCCTCCAGTGGATGCTTTGTTCTTTAATTCTTATGTATGTGTGTTTTGCCTGCATGTGTACAAATACACCATGTGCATGACTAAGGAGGCCAGAAGAAGGTGTCAGATTCCCCAGGCTCAGAGTTACAGGGAATTGTACACTGGGATCCAAACCCAGAGTCCTCTGCAAGAGCAGCAAGTGCTCTTAACCTGGCTTAGTTGGTGACTCTGACTTCACCTTTCTGGGCCTTAGTTTTGCATCTGCAGAGCAGGTGTGGTCATGGCACCTACCCTGTGTGGTTGCTATGGGGAGGAAAAGCGGTGGGGGGAGGCAAAGATTCCGTAAGGTCTCTTGCTGTCTCTCTCCAGCCCCCGAAAGGTGGTTTTGATGTCACAGTCAGTGACATGTCTTTGCTGTGGAAGAAACAAGCATGCCATTCCACGTGGCCTGCTTGTGGTCTAACCTCTGTTTGTGGTCTCTGCACCCAGGTCAGCTCTCCTCCACGCTGGCTTCCGAGTCTCTCTCTCCCACGCTTGTAAGAATGCAGTGAAGACAGACGCTCCCCCACAAGCTCTCTGGGACATCATGCGTTGTTGGGTGAGGGCAGGTGACCCCACGATTCAAGGCAGGAGGACTTGGAGGGGAGGGTGACTTGGGTGCACCTCAGGCCTAGCCTCTCTTCCACCTCTGTCCCCAGGAGAAGGAGTGTCCAGTAAAACGGGAACGGCTGTCAGAAAGCAGCCCAGCATTCCGGATTCTGGCTGTGGAGCCCAGGTACAGACAAACATGGAGGAGGGGACAGGCTACCCCCTGGGCATAGCAGGTGCATGTGCGCAGAAGACAGACACTTCAAGGGGAATCCAGAGCCCTCACCTTCTGCCCTCACCCTGTGCCCTTCCCACTCTTCTCTGCACCAGCTGTTCTTTAGCCTTACGTATCTGTGAGTGTCTGGGTCAGAGGAACCTTCCATGGCTCTCTCCTCATAGTGGCCTGAACCCTGCACAAAGTCTGTCCCGCCTGGGCCCTTTGCCTGGGCCCTTGTCTCTCACTTCAGAGAAGCTTTCTGGACTGGACCACCCTATCCGGCACTGCATCCTGACTTAGGTCTTCTACCACAACAGTTACAGAATAGCATGTCCTGACACGGGATTATTATTTTTTTGTGGTGCTGGGGATGGAACCTGGAGCCTTGTGCATGCTGGGCAAGTCTCTACCTGGGTTCACACCTCTGGCCTGAGTTACTTCTGATTTATCTTGTCTTGGCAATTGTCTGTTTCTGATGCTGCAAAGCCAAGCTCCATTGGGTCAGATCCAGGCCACTTTGTCAGAAATTCCCTAGGAAATCCAGGTGTTGTTAGACAATGGGAGAACTCTGAGCCTGGTAGACCTGTGGTGCGCCTCAGGGTGGGCAGGTTCTGGGGCTGTGTTCACCCTGCATGGCTGCTGCCTCCAGCCCCCACCCATTTGTCCAGGCTAAAGGCCAACTTCAACATCCGGGAAGATGCCAACCCCAGCTCCCGCCAGCAAGGACTCAAGCGCTTCCAGGCCAATCCAGAAGCCAACTGGGGCCCCCGGCCCCGTGCCCGGCCAGGGTAAGTGTAATGTTGCAGTGGTGGGGCTTGGCTAGGGTGGGTTGAGCAAAGGAAAAGTAGGGTACCAGCCTCTGTCTCTGCATGGGGGCAGGGCAGCAAGTAAAGATCCAGAGGAGAAACGGAGGCTGCTACAAAATAAGCGGAAGGAGCCAGCCGAGGACCCAGCCCAGAGGGCAGCCCGCCTCAAGACGTTTCCTTGCAAACGATTCAAGGAGGTGATTCCCTTCTTCCACCCTCCCTGCCACAAAGCCCAGGGGAGGGGGGGTTGGGCAGGCTGGCTGGCACAGCTGCGGCTGGGAGCTGAGGAAGGAATCCCGGCCCTGTGCTCACAGCCTGGAGCTCCACACTCTCTTTTCCCCACCAGGGTACCTGTCAGCGAGGGGACCGGTGCTGTTACTCACACAGCCCTGCAGCGCCTGTGGTCTCTGCTGATACTCTCCTCACAGACTGTCCAGAGACCACCACCAAGATCTCCCCTGGACCAGAGGCTGCTGCTGGGGGCACTGGTGGGCCAGGTGTGGACTGAGACAATAAAGAGATGTCACTTTCTGCTGGTTGTCATTTCGAATGGGGAGGTTGTCTGCCTGAGGGACTCTGTCTGAGGGTTCCTGTCTGGGGTCCTTGTTCCTGCCTGACTGCAGCTTTAAGTCTGACCTGGAAACTGATCTGGCTGTTCAGGAGAGCAGTTCACCAGGTGGCCACAGGGCGGCAGCTGCGAGCATGCTCGCCTGTCACCCGCCTGTCACCCTGTGCTGCCTCCCCTCTGACTATCCAGGCATTTCCCCCAGCACCCCACTAGTCCCCCTGAAGTCTCTTATTGCCTGGTGTCTTGGGCCTCGCTCTCTCCAGTGCTCTCTCCAGTTGGTGTGGTGGCGGAAGCCAGACCGGAAGCAGGCACTCTGTGCATCCGCTCCAGACCAGGTGCTTCCTGCCCTGCCTGCTCTCAATAGGGATGTGACTGCTGAGAACGCAAGCAGAGCAGGCGGCTGCCCAGACACCCAGTGAAGAGGCTCTGTCCCCTTCCTCTGGAGTAGAGGGTTAGTAATGCTAAGAGGAGAGCAGGGGCATAAGCACACTTCACCAGCCGCTACAAAGTGAGGCAGTGGGGTGGTGACTTGAGCACTTTAACAAGGCTGGATGGCCACTGAGCACCTCCCTGGGTGTGCCTACAATTCACCAAATACATGGGGCAGGCCTATTATACTACATAGAGCTCAGCTCCTCTTGGAAGCCTTTTTTTTTTTTACTCAAGAGACAGGGTTTCTCAGTGTAGCTCTGGCTGTCCTGGAACTCTCCGTAGACCAGGCTGGCCTCTGCCTCCCAAATGCTGGGATTAAAGGCCTTCTTGGGAGCTTTCTGTGGGGTTTCTAGGACTTTGTTGTTGTTGTTAAGATTTATGTACTTTTATGCATATGATTTTCCGGGCATGTATGGATGTATATGCACCATGTGCTTCTCTGGTACCCTCAGAGTTAAGAGGGTGTCAGATCCCCTGGAACTGGAGAGAGCTAGGAATGACGATTGTGAGCAACAGTAACAGAACCTGAGTCCTCTGCAGGACCAGCAACTGCTCTTAACCACTGAGCCAGCTCTCCAGCCCCCAGGGTTCCAGAATTCAGAATATCACTCCAGAATACCTGCCAGCAAGGGACAGCACCCCCGTTGTGTGGCCTGCCTGGCATCTTTTTTTTTTTTTGCATTGGTGTTTTGCAATGTATGTCCATGTGAGGATGTCAGATCTTGGAGTTACAAACAGTTGTGAGCTGCCATGTGGGTGCTAGGACTTGAACCCAGGTCCTCTGGAAGAGCAGTCAGTGCTCTTAACCACTGAACCATCACTCCAGCCCCCTGCCTGGCATCTTAGGGAGCCTTGGAGCAGCTCTGGGAAACACAACTCTTGACACTCTGGATTTCACCCCCCTGAACTTGAGAAATAACCTTGGAAGTGCCACAGGGTTCAGGACACCAAAGGGCCACGTCGCCAGAACTATCTCCTGGAGCCCTATTCCTGGGTGTGTGGGGGTAGGGAAGTCCGCAGGGGATGTGTAAAAAAGAGGAACTAGGCTGGAGGCTGGGGCCCTTGGGTCATGGGGCCTCAGAGGACCGGAAAGGGGCCCCTTCCACCCCCCTCAGCACAGGCACTGGGCAGGGGGTGGGGTTCAAAGCCAGAATAACCGCAGAGGACACCAGAGGCAGCCTTGCCTCATTTCCTCTTTGCATGAAGAGTTCGGTTCCAGGGTCTCCTGAGGGCTAGGGTCTTCCATTGCCTAGGAGAGCAAGCAGCAAGTCCTGGGGGGTGACTGCCAGTACTGGCCACCGTGGGCCAGAGGGTGCGCGCTCCCGTGATCCCTGCCTGCTGGTTTCCTCCGGGATCAGTGCAGCTCCTTATCAGGCGCGGCCAGGCAGTCAGACCCTTATCTGCACGGGCCCAGCATCCTCTGGCCTCTGCGCCAGGGGGTAAGAGGGAGGAAGCCAGGCTGTCGGGGGTGGGGAAAAGACGGGTTGGTCCAGGAGCTGCTCACTTTCTCTTGAGGTTACACACCACGCCACCGCCGCCTCCGAGACTCGCTCAGGCCCTCCGGAGCCCGGGAGGTGGCGCAGCCCAGCTCTGAGGCCCAACGGGACCACCTGGGGCACACTGACCGGACTGGACAGTGGAAACCGCCTCCTGGCCTGGATTGACAGCCCTGACCACACAGCACTCCAGACTGCGACAACTGCTACAGGGTAAGAAGGACGCTTTGAAAGTTCGGAGGGAGAGTTTGCGCCTGCACTCTGCGCTCATCCGTTCATTTATTCATTCATCAGCTGGGACCCACTGAGGAACCAGGGGAATCTCTCCAGCTGCGGAAGATAGGGCAGAGAGGTGGGGAGTCACGCACTAGCAGGACACTCCAGACCCTGGAGCCCAGCACACACTTTATGTAGGGTGCAAAAAAATCTGGATGCTGATGAGGCTAGGGTTGGTGAGAGGAACCTTGAGCAAGGGTGGAGGCTTCAGCAACAACCATGGAAAGGTGGTATAGGTTTCAGGAGTTAAGTTAGGGGATCCCTACTGTGCCCCAGCTGCTGGAAGGAGAGAAACTGGCTCAGAGGCAAGAAGCCCTTTACAAACAACTCTAAGCAGGGTTAATGCTGTCTAGCACCTAGTAGACACCCCCTCTTGTGGAGAAGCTTCCCCCTTCATGTCTTGCAGTAGTTTCTGGACCCATTCATCTGCTTTTGACTACTGAGCTCACAGTCTCTCTCTCTCAAGGTGCTTTCATATTGAAGCGCTCACTTAGGTGAAACACGTGGGAGAAACATGGTCTCTGGCGGGGCCGTCCGTCCCAGTAACTCTGCTCTCTTCCACAGGTTAGCATTCCATTCTTGGGGTCCATGTGCCCACCCCAGGCCCAGGCAGAGGTGGGTTCCGCCATGTCTGAGAAAGTTGAGATGGTGCACGCCTCCAGTCCTGCGCCTGCACCTCCCCCTAAGTCCGCCTCACCTGGGCCCCTTCCTGCGGAGGTGGACCACCGAAACCCGGCATGCACCCCCTGGTTGCCTCCAGGTGTGCCAGTGATAAACCTGGGTCATAGCAGGCCCACAGGGGCAGCCATGCCCACCACAGAGCTGAGTGCTCTTCGGCCCTCCTTGCTGCAGTTAGCAGCCTTGGGAGCAGCTCCACCCACCCTGGCCCTGCATTACCACCCCCACCCCTTCCTCAACAGGTCAGTGGGGAGCTGGGACTGTGGGCAGCTCTGAGGGTCGGTGGGCAGGGGCTTTGCCTACAAGGCGTTCATGACACACACCACCTTACAGCGTCTACATTGGGCCAGCAGGACCCTTCAGCATCTTCCCTCACAGCCGGCTGAAACGAAGACCAAGCCACGGTGAGCTGGACTTGGCTGAGGGTGAGTGTGTCCATGTTTGTGTACTTGTGAGTGCTTGCAGCCCACGTCTGATTGACCTGTACTCTACCACAGGGAGAGGTGTTTTGTGGACCAACACAGGATAACTCACACAAGTGACAGCCAATGCAACACCACCGTACCGAACCTAGCTTGGTGGCTTATCCCTGTAATCCGTTCAGAGGCCAGCCTGGGCTACATAGTTGAGTCCCAACAAACCAAGTGTTATAGCTAGAGTCATGGCTACAACAGGACATAGCACCCACAGGATGACGCTCCCCAACCCGAAAACACAGTCATGAAAGAGACAACCTTGGACTAGGATCACACAGAACTATGAGACCACAATCAACCTCAGAACCCCAGCCACACAAACAACAGTCACAACCACATGCCACGAACCCACACAACCACAGCCATCAGATAGGCCACCAGTCACCCACAGGCCCACAGCAGGCAAGAAGAGAACCTCTGAAAACCCGAGGACATGCTCGCTCGGAATGAGGCCACAGGGTGGACATCAAGGCATGATCAGGCTCAGCAGCCCTGGCGTCTACACAGCCCACACTCGCTTCAAGCCCAAGCAGGTGCTGGTGGTGTTTAGTGAGGACAGCAGTGGGTGCCCTCTGGCCTGTATGCTGATGCTATTCTTCCGGTCCTCAGGGCACCAACCCCAGAAGGTGGCTCGTCGTGTGTTCACCAACAGCCGAGAGCGCTGGCGGCAACAGCACGTTAACGGCGCCTTCGCGGAGCTCAGGAAGCTGCTGCCCACCCACCCGCCCGACCGGAAGCTGAGCAAGAACGAGGTGCTGCGTCTGGCCATGAAGTATATCGGCTTCCTGGTGCGGCTGCTGCGAGACCAGGCGGCTGTGCTCGCCTCGGGCCCCAGCGCTCCCGAGCCCCGCAAGCCACCTGCGCACCGGGGAGTAGAGAGCGGTGCGCGCTGCGGGGCCCGACACAGGGTGGAGGCTGCGTGCTCGCAGCCCGTGCTTCCTGGGGACTGCGACGGCGACCCCAATGGGTCGGTGCGACCCATCAAGATGGAGCAAACAGCTCTTAGTCCTGAGGTGCGGTGACCCAAGGCGCCCGTGGCGCCTCGCCTGCTGCGCTGTGAACTCCCTGTAAAAGGAACTGAGGTCGCCCAGATGAGGAAACGCCCTGTAGTCCTGGAAGGGTGACCGGCGACTCGGGGGCTCCGCAGACTTTTCAGAAAAATTTCCCACAGACTACCTGAGGTGGCCTTGCTAGTGTCCTCTTCCCTGGGTCGAGGCCAGAGAACCAACAAAGCAAAGTGACTACGGGATCTTTAGGGGTGCTGAGAGAGGTAGGGAAGGGTCTGGAAGCCTTCGCATCGGCGCCCCCTGCTGGAGGCGGGAAGCCCCTGGACAGTGTATGGAGGGCCCACCCCACCGAGCCCAACCGGTTGCGCTTGATCCATGATCCTGTTAACCGCGTTATCGAAGATCCAGGCACTCTTGCATTTGTTTTTCTTTATTTCTTTATTTCACATACACATTAGCCATTCAATGGAGAAGCCGGAGAGAGTCAGGCAAAGATGGTATAACAGAAGCGCAGTGACGGGGGTGGGGCGGGGCGGGCGGAGAGGGGACAGACGGGCTGGCTGCCTACTTGCATTCCGCTAGGACACTGAAAACCCAGAAAACAAAACAGACAGTAAACTACCCTTGTTTCTTATGTATCTCAGTGCAGAGACGGGGGGGGTGGAGGGCAGAGAAGGGAGACCAGGCTGAAAGAGGAGCAGAGGGAAGGGGACGCTAAGGGGGAAGCACACCAAATCCATTAGTACTATATATAGAGATACTCGTATATACTGCGTTTCTTAGCCTAAGAAGAAACTTGTTTGACGGGACGGGCGGCCTTTGCGGTCCGCGATGCTGGTGCTGGTGGGGCGCACGGATCTCCCAAGAGGGGCCAAAGCGGGGGCTGGCCCCGGCTGGCTTGCGGGGGGGGGGCGCCCCAGGGTGGATGGGGTTGGGGGAGCAGAGGTGGGGCTGGGGTGCCCCTAGGGCTCTCGATTGGGGGACAAAAGTTCTCATAACTTTATTGCTCCTTTATTTTTCTCTCGTGGGGGGGTCCGTTCAGCACGGTCGGGGTGGGGAAAACGGTGGGTCGTCTGAGCCACCCGGCCCCTCTGGGACCCAGAGCGCGGCGTCCGCTCCGCCAGCACGGGGGTGAGAACAAGGCACTAGGTCGGCCGGCCAGCGCGGGGGGCGGGTGTGTAAGGCAGTCGACAGGGCTGGTTGCGGGGTAGGGTGGGGATGTGTGCCGGGCTGTGTGCGTGCGTGCGTGCGTGCGCGGGCCTGGGCAAATCGACCTGTCAGCGTGGCTGGACCTGTCCTGGAGCATCGAACCTCCCGGAGGGAGGGGAAGAGCGGTGTTACGTGGGAAGGGGTTGGGGAGGAAACTACCAACTTGCTGAGCGCGCTCCTGATTAATGCTGGTGAGGGTCAAGTTGGCGTCTGGCTCAAAGAAGGGCGCTCGGAGTGGGAAGGAAGGGAAAAGGGACGTTTGTTCGTTGGCATTGACCTCTGCGGGGGAGGGGGCCGGGGACCCCCGCCGCGCCCCAGTGCCCGGAGGGGGAGGGGGCGAGAAAGGGGGAGGGGGCGCCCAGGGAGACCCGCGGCCAGAGCAGCCCAGCCGCGGGGCGCACGCCGCTGTCCCGTTCCGTTAAATTCAACAAAGAAGGGATATGCGTGTTCCTAACAAGTGCAGAATATTTAATTGATTCATAAACGTATGTATAATAGTTTGTGGGTTTTTTAAAAACGTACTTTATAATGTAATAAGCACCAGGGTTTTTTATGTTTAATTATCTTAAAAATAATTTTCTCTCGTCCTTTTCCTTTTGATCTTGTGTTGGTTTTTTTTAAATGTCGAGGTGTTTTTTTAAAATATAAAATGTGAACGTTTTCTTCAGCCCTCCCACCGAAACCGAACGACGAAACAAATTAAAACCCCAGATTATCCTCGTCAACGCAGGAAAACGGCAAAAAACCAACCAATCAAACAAACAAACAAAAAACCCAGAGAACTATCAAAAAAAGGAAAAGAAAAAGAAAGAAAGAAAGAAAGAAAGAAAGAAAACACTCAGCTTTCATCCCCGCTAAGGGCAGGGCAGGCCCAGTTCTTTTAGCGTCCCCAGAGCCACGAGGACATTACAACAAAAATAGAATTTTTTTCTTAATCTCTTAACATACAAAGATAGGAAAACTCTCTGATGCATTGCACTTGGTTCAATGAAAAAAAAGGTTAATTTCCCCTATTTCTTTCCTTTTTTTTTTGTGGGTTGTTTCCTCTCCTAACACGTCCCCACATCTGTTGCCCTCATCGTCCCTCGCCTGCCCCTCACAACACCACTTGGGAAAGGAGCGCTACTCCCACCCCACCCCGGTCCTCCCGGGGGTACCTCGCCGGGCACCTTGGGCCCCCGGCCCAGCTGGCCTGCAGCTTCTGACCTCGCCCGGGGCGTGTGCCCCCGCAAACCCACAGTACCCGCCCGCAGCCCGACTGTCTTCGACCAACCGAAGAGGCGCACGCGGCCGGGCAGGGACCCTCTTTCGCTAGCTCTTAGCTCTGACCCTGTTTCGCCAACCGAACTGAAAAATCATTGCACTTTGACCGCGCGTCACGCCCGGCCCGCCCGGCCCCCCATCCTGGGGCTCCCTCCCCTCGCACAGGGAGGCCCCTCGCGGGTTCTCCACCCCGGGCCCTGGACGCCACAGGGGAGGGCTTCACTCAACTTCCACGCAGCGCGCCCGCCCGGACAGCTGCCTCTCAATCCCGAGCTCCCTGCACGCGGCCATTCGCCCGCTCAGGGCCGCAGCCTCACCAACTAGATTCTCAATAAATAAAGCCCACAACCCACCCCCACGTGGTGCAATGTTGGACCAACTTTCGGAGGGTCCTGACCTGTGCTTTGTGTTTTCATACCGGAGAGGCGCAAGGCCTTGAGAATGGGCCTGGGAGGGGAGATGCAGGGAAGGAGGACTAAGGCACAGAAAGACAAGCCAGAGGGGTCCAGTCACCTTGGAGGGGGGCTGGCGTGCTCGCGTTCCCCTCCCCTCCCAGGGGGCTTCTCAAGACCCTCTGGACAAGCCTCCACCATCCCTTGCAGGAGGAGGGGGCTGGGAGGAGAGCTGCTTCCTGTGGTGTGTTATGAAATTGTTCCCAAGTTGCTCAGAGGAGTTCCCAACTGCAACAGCGAAAGACCCAAACAATGACTGCCCCACCCCTAAATAAAGAGGAAAGACATTACAGCTAAAATCTAGGGAGAAGTGGCCACGGGATGTGGCGGGAAGGGAAGGGGACCAGAAAGCTCCAGAACACTCTTTTAAAAGGATGACACCCCCCACCCTCCACAGGAACTGAGAGTCTCGAGAGCAGGACGCCTACCTAGTGCAGGTGGAGGCAGCCTTGTCCTCCTCGCTCGGCTCCGGGGGCCCTTTCTGCTCCACTCTCAGCCGGCCCCTGGAGGGCTGTGTGCGGCAAGGGCAGGGGCAGGGCAGAGGGGCGGAGCGAGGGCACCTGCATGCAGGGCTGGGGTGCGGGGCGACCTGGGGCCGACTCCCTTCACTAGGGGCGTGGCAGAGGGCAGCCCTCGCGGCCTGCGGGGATGGAAGAGGGTGCCTGTGCCGGGCTAAGCGTCCAGTCCAGAGCATTCTGACTTTTTCCTGTGTGCTGTACAGAGGGGGTCCGGCCCGAGAACTGCCCTGCGGTTCGGTTCGGGGTGGGGGAGGTGGCAGAACACCCTCCATTCTGGACTCAACGCTGAATTTAGCTTAGCTACCTCCAAGGAACATCCCCTGCCCACCCCGGGGCCATCCTAGTCCAGAGCAGCAGGGGACAGAAGCCTGAGCAGAGGCTCCCTGGAAGGGCGAGAAGGAGAGGAGGGGGGGGGCGAAGTCCGGAGGTGAGCTCGAATGTCTACTTCCATCATCCTTAAGAGCTGTTCCTCTGGGCTCCGAGGGAAGCTTAGGTCCAGCGGAGGGTGGGGGTCCCCAGGAACCGCAGGGGTGGCAGACCAGCGAGCTGGCTGCTCCTTCCCGGAAAGGCCGGGCTGGTTGCATCTTTTCTTTCTGTTTGTCCTCTGCTTAGCAGAGTCCGCTTAGCATGCTTCTTTCTGCTTGGCTGCTGGTGTACAACTCGGCTGAGACCCCTTCCGAGGGCTCCCAGGACTGGGCTGCTTTGGACCGCAGGGCTACCAGGGCTGGAGGAGGGAAGGGCTGAGTGGCTGACGACGTCTAAATTTTGCTTTTCGGTGGGGCTGGGCTGGGGGATATTTCCATGTCTCAAAATCTCTTCTCCCCCCTTTTGAGGAACCTCTTTTTAAAAATTTTTGTTGTTTCTTTGTTGATCTTAATCAGAGGAACCAGGACTGAAACGGGACCAGGAAAAAAAAAAGAAAAAAGCGACAATGAGAACAGCCGGAAAGGTCCCAGCTCCCATCTCACCCCCCCCCCCTGGCCCTATGACCCCTACCTTCCTACCGTCTACAGTGAGCTCAGGAGGAGGAGCCAGGGTGCTGGGCAGCTGACCCCCATGGAAGAAGCCAGTTTATTCTCCCCACCCTCTGAGGGAATCCCCCCCAGACCCATTCCCCGGTGCAAGAGTCCAGCTGGCCTTCCCGTGGGCACTGTGCCCAGCGGGTGGGACCCCCATGGCTGGCACTGGCCAAGACCTGGGATCTGGCCATGTTTGCAATTGTTTAGGTTTTGTGTGGGACCTGGAAGGTGGGGAGGATGCCAGGCTGGGGCTTTTGTACCCGCAGGGGATGGCGGAGTAGGGTGGGGGTGGCCCAGCTTGAGTTCTTGCTGAGTTTTCTTTCTGTCTCTTTGGATTAAAAGCAGAAATTCACGTCTGTACATCCCAGCCAACGTCCTGTCCCTCGGGCTGAAAGGCTGGGGGCAGGGAACCACATGGCTTCAGTTCCTACCGGGGGCCAGCCTGGGGGAGGGGGCCAGAGCCCACCCACCCAGCAGGATCTTGGGCCTTCAGGGCACTAGACCCGGGAAAGAGCCTGAAGCTCCCTGCGGTGGGCATTGCTTCCCTAGGAAGCCAGCAGGGGGCGCTGCGTTCCCGTACATAGGGCCCTCCTGGCTTTGAACACTGAGTACAAACAGGGTGGACCCCTGGGACTGGCTGCTTGGCAACGCCCTCCATCAAAGGCTCTACTCTGGTTTCCTGCCCAAGGGGGAGTGGAGGACTCTTCTCCAGACCTATTCCCTTGCTTGGGTATACCTGACAGTACCTTCACAACAAAATGAGGGTCCCCGGTGTTTTAACGGGAGCATCTTGGAGCTCCGTGTCACAGACTTGTGTATACAGGACCAGGCAGTGCCAACTACAGAACACACACACTAGATACTGCTTCATTCCATCCGTGTCCCAAGCCCACACTGGTGCACACACAGGATGGGTGACCTTGACCTGACGACTCATGGATCTCCAATGTGGGGCGTTTAAGGTTAAGAGCCTGTATGCCTCTACTGCATGTTCAGAATCACGAGGAGGCAGGGCTGGATGGGAAGGTTTGTGCTCTGCTTAGGTAGAATCCAGCCTGCTAAGTTGGAGTGAAGGCACCAGGCAGCTGGAGTTGCCCACTTTTCAAAAGAAACCAGAAATCCAGGCAGAATTTCATGTGAAATTGTCCAGCATTTAAAATACTCCTAGAACCAGCCATGGTGGTGCATGGCTTCAATCCCAGTAGGTGGATCTCTGACAGCTGGAGGCCAGCCTGGTCTACATAGTGAGTTCCAGGACAACTAGGGTTACAGTAAGACACCCTGTCTGAAAAACAAACAAACAAACAAACTCTCTCTCTCTCTCTCTCTCTCTCTCTCTCTCTCTCTCTCTCACACACACACACACACACACACACTCTACTGGAAGCCAGATTGTTGGTTTATTCTTGTTATCTTTGCCCTTAGGAGACCGAGACAAGAGGATTGTTGGGAATTTGAGATTTCTTAGGACTTCACAGTCCGAGCCCAGAGCAAGACCCTATCTCAAAACTCTCTCTCTCTCTCTCTCTCTCTCTCTCTCTCTCTCTCTCTCTCTCACACACACACACACACACACACACACACACACACACACAAAGTTTGGATCCAGGTGTGATAAAAAAAATTGCTAGTAATCCCAACACCCAGGAGGCTGATGCGAGGGGATCAAGTTTGAGGCCAGCCTATATTATGTAGAGGGGTCCTGGCTCAAAACAAAACAAAAATAGAAAACCCATCACTACTGGGTTGGGGTGTGGCCTTACCTAGCATGCCTGAGGCCCTGGGTACCAACTCTATTCAAAACCTGAAACCATGAATATTCCAATATTGATCAGCTCACATCAGACCCTGTCCCTGAGGCTCTGGTTTGAAACTGCAGTAAGTGCCCCTGTGAAATGGGGGTACTAAACATAAGAAACAGCAATGGAGTCCAAAAGGCACAATGTCTTGCTCCTTTAGTTCCAGCATGTAAGTCATGTGACCTGAATTTACTCCCTAAACCTACAGAAAGATGGAAGGAGAGAACTGACGGAACGAAGCCCATACATACATGTTACACACACTCATGCGTGTGTACATACACACACATAAATAAAAATAAAGCTCGAGCTTCAAAGATCCTCTAGAATCTTCTGTGGCAATGGAGTCCTAGATGTGCTGTCCAGTGAGGTCACTGATACCATGGTTCATAAGATGAATCTGGAATGTGGATTGCGAACTGAGGAGTGGAGACTCAACCCAGGCCATCACGAACGTTAAACAAGTGCTCTTCCACGGAGCTCTCTCTCCAGCCCTACTGTTTTCTCTAATTTATTTCAGTGCACAACACTTCCTGTGGCCAGTGGTGAGGACAATAGCGGGTGCAAAGGATGGACATCTGGAAGTGTGGGTATTGCCACAGCAAAGGGTGCTGCCTGCCAGTGTTGCGTGATGCGTACAGGGTGCCCGGCAGGATGTGCACAGGAGGGCTTGCCTCCCTCTGTGGGTTTGCAAGCAGCTACCTAAAGTCCCACTTGTCCCATTTAAAGCCAGAAAGGGCCTGGGAAGCTGAGGTGGAAACCAGGTGGAATGTCCTCCCAGAGTGAAGTCAACCAGAGATCTGCGCTTCTAGCTCTGGTGTTCTCTGGGACCCAAGGGACAGCTAACATGGGCTCTTATACCACTGCTCCAGGCAAGGGAAGCTACCCCTCCTCTGCTTCCATGATAGACACATGGGACATGGGGCCACCATACCAAGGCCCAAACTCTCCCCTCGAAGTTTCTTGTACTACATAGCCTTATAGTCTCAAGAGTGGGGGATCCTCAGAGGATGAAGATTCCGGTTTCATCTCAATAGTGTCTCCACACAGGCCGCAATTGCAGGGTCTACGATCAAGCCCAGGCTGCCTTTTCTGTTTACCCCCTCCCTGCTTCTCAAGCCAGGCCCCAAACTGATTAAAACTAAGTAAAAAGCACTATTTAGGGAATGATAAAATTGCTAAAATTTTCTTTTCTTCCCTCATTCTATTGTTCTGTCTCCATCTGGTGCTCCAAGGATCAGCTAAAGTCACTGGTTACTGTGGAAACCAGTCCTGATTGTCCCCCCTACAGCCGCCTGCCTGCCCTCAGGCCCAAGGGCTTCTGCTCCAGGGTGTCTAACTCCCCCCCCCCCCCAACACACACACCTGCCTGATCACAGGTCCTGGATCAGCTAGGATTCACATCCTCACCTGCCATTGAAGGCAGTGAGGGAGAGAGAGAGACAAACCGTTTCCCCCGAACTTGCCTCAAACTCTGACTTGGCCTCAAAACGTCCAAGTAAAGTGAGCAGAGAAAGTGAAGAAAGCAAAACCGAGAGAGAGGGAAGGGCTCTCAGCAGCAGCAGAGCAAGGGCACTGCACTGCAGAGCAGGAGTAGCAGAGGGGGAGAGGGAGTGAGCAATGGAACCCTGCTCTTGGTGCCAGCCCAGAGCTGGGAGGGGAGGCCCGCCTGCTGTCCCTTCCTCTGGCACCCCCTCCCACCTTCTGCCAGCAGGGCTTTCTCGGCCTCCCTGGCACAGAGCAGAGGGGGCTGGCTCCAGACCCTGCCCAGAGCCATTGTTTTTCTTCTCAACACCCCCAAGTTCAAGTTCATCTGGGTGTTACATCATGTCTGGTTGCTCCTGGAAACCAGACGGGTCAGACGTGACTCTGGGGAAAGGGGGTGGGAGGCTGGAGGGGGTTGAAGTTCCCTTCTCCTCCCCTCCTCACCACTAGGGAGCTCTGAAGTTTGAAGTTTGGCTAAGTTGTGTGTGTGTGTGTGTGTGTGTGTGTGTGTGTGTGTGTGTGTTAAAGGAAAAGAAAGAAAGAAAAGACCCTTAAACCACACACAAAACTTCCATCTACCAACTTTCTCTGGACTGGGGCCTCAGCAGAGGCGGGGCAGGAGCCAGCAGAGGTGGCCCTGAGGCTCTGAGCAGGGGTGGATTTCCCAGGGCTGAGGAAGCCAGCAAGGAAGTTTTTTTATAAAACGTACAAAAAGAAGAATATTTGTGTGCTTTTTCTGAAAGCCCTGGCCCTCTGACGTTGCCCTGGCCTGTCCCTGAGGTGGGCCTTCCCTGTGTGCCAAGGGCCCTGGGTTCTGCCTGCTATTCTCACCCTCTCTAGACACAGGCACATGAGAGACATCCGTGTGTGCACATGCATTCTCCAGGCAGTCTGGGGCCTCACGCTGGAGGACAAGTTTGGCTTGTCTCCTTTTGGGAAGTGGGGGTGGTGTCAGTGGGGACTGGGAGCTCCAGCAGCCTGACTTTCCTCCTAATGGGACTTATGAGGACTTAGAGGAGGGGCCTCCAGGACGGCAGCCAACCCTGCCCTTGATGCCAGTCTCTGGGCATGCAGCCCACCAGCCGTACTTTGTCCTTCTCCCACCTTCATCCAGCCCACCCAGTGCCAGGGAGACATGGAAGGCTAAGGCCTCCTTGATCTGACCAGGGTAGGAGATCCAGGAGACAGGGTTGCCTTCCTAGTCAGCGCTTCAGCCTTCCCTCTTTGCTTTTCCTGGATGGCCCAGAGGTCTCTAGCCTTGGGTTGCCTTTCCCAGGTCCAGGGTTGTCAGAGCTAATTATCCAATTAGCTGATTAGCTAGGGAGCCTGAGGCTGCCTAGGGAGGCTGCTCAGCTGGGCAGTAGCCTGGGCATGCAACTCATAAGGAACAGCCCTCCCCAGAACCCTGGCTTCTCTCTTCATCCCAAGATGTGCCCCCCTGTCTGCCCTCTCCTGCATCCAGGCATCTCCTACCTGAGACTGCTGTGGGATGTTCAGAAAGTTGCCGTCCCGGGGTCCGATGCTGACAAACCGGTTGGCAGAGGAGGCGCCTGTCGTTGCGAATGCTGTGGGGAGCAGGGGGTGAGGAGAGAGGGAAAGACCAGGTCAGGCTATGAGGCCTCCCCTGGGTACTGCCCCTCTGGGCGGCGGAGGAAGGGAGAGACTAGGTTAGATGTGCTGTAGGGTAAGCTGGCGGCGGGAAGGATGAGTGAGGACTACAGTGTGGGAGGCCAGGCTGCAGGCCCTTCCGCTCTCTGACCAGGAACGCACACATACCCTCCTGCCTCAGCCTGTCAAGGCTGGGCTGAGGAAGGGCCATTGAGGCTGCAGCTGAAGTCCCTTGGGCCTAGTTCTGTCCCCTACTGAGACAACAGTTAGCACTGGGTTCGCCAGCGGAGACCCTAGTTTTTCTATTTTTAGAGGGGCTGGGAAGCCTTGACCAGCCTGTCTGGGCATGGCCGCTCATCCAGGTCACCTCTCAAGCCCCACAGTCTCACTGGGGGCTGTGCCACTTACCACCTTGGGCAGTCCCACTGATTGGCAAGTGGCTCAGGAACTCACAGGGGTCCAGTGGAGACCACGCCAGCAGGAGTGGTCACAAAAGACCCTGTGGCCTGGCTGCCTGGTGTGCACTGTGGCAGAAAGGTCGAGTCCATGCTACTCTCTGCCCATCCGTGCCTCAGGCCAGGTGACAGAGAAAGAGGCCACAGAAAGAGCCCCAAAGCTCAGCCACCTGGGGGCAGCTGTCCAATGCCCCAGGGGACCAATGACCCCCACAGCCCTGAGCTCTTCTCTTCTGGGGTATTCAGCTGAACCTGACAGGCGGGAAGCAGTCCCCAGAGGAAAATAGAGTTTCACAGTTCACCTGGGACGCTCACTCCTGCTCTATGCCAGACATACCCAGGACATGCTCGCCAGATTCTGTCCCTTCTCTAGAAGTGAGCTCCAACCTGGCTCCCGCCCCCACTCTGCCCACCTCCAGTGACTGTGGTCATGTCTAATGGCATATGCAAATGAGGAGATGACATGGAGAGGGCAAGGAGGGGGAGAGAAGGAGAGACAGAGAGCGCGAACGGACAGGAGTGTTGACATGGGCCACCCTGCCACCCACGGCTGCAGTTCCAGCTCAGACGTCTGCCCACCCCTGTGCCAGCCTGAGACAGCGCGCCGCCCGCCTTCCGCCCCTCCTGTCCTTCACGTCGGGTCTAGCTGGGACCTCTCCACTTAGATATTTCTTCTTTTCCCTTTGGCACCATTTGTCATTGGATTAAAGGAAAGAAGGAAGGGAGAGAGAGGGTGGGAGGGAGGGAGGAAGGAAGAAAAAGAAAGATGAAGTTGGGGCCCAGTGCCCTCCCTTCTCTTTGGAACTTACAACCTGGGAAAGAAGGGAAGGGATAGGAGGATGGGAAGAGGGTATAAAAGGAAAAGAAAAAAAGAGGGACAACAAGAAATCAAATAGGAAACTGAGGGAAGAAGGGATTGGAAAAGTGCCTCCTGCATCTTCAGAGGCCCAAGGGCCAGATGGAGGTGAGGGGACAAGGCAAAAAGAGGATGGTGGTGGCGTCACCTTGTGGTTACATTTAATTTCTTTTCTTTTCTTTTTTTTTTTTTGGTGTGTGTAAGGGAACAACGAAACAACAACAACAAAAAAATTGAAAAACAAAACCAAAAAATCAAAAAAAAAACCAACAAAAAACAAAAACAAAAGCAGCAATCAGGCATGAAGATGGCATGGCTGTGCCTCCCGCCCCCCCACCCGCGCCAGCACCCCCGGCCCAGTGCCCCACTGCACTCTCCCTCCCGCCCCCCAGGGGGGCCTGGGCCAGGGCCTGGCTGGGAGCAGTGGGCAGGGCTCATGGGGTGCTGGCTGGTGTAACTGAGGCCCAGGAGGCCATGGCCAGGGTTCAACCCTGCTCATCCTTTGGGAGGCTCTGAGGCGCTCTGGGGAGGGGCTTTGTTGGGAGGGGGCGCTCCTCTTTTTGCAGTGGAGACTGTGTAGATGGGCCAGGGATGCTGGGCGCTGTGGTTTCGGTTTCATCGTCCACTTACAAGGTGATGGAGGAGTCAAGGCGGCGCCGTCTGGGGCCGTGCTGGTGGTTTTGGAATCAGGCATAGGAAGGGGCACAGGTCTGGCCACTGGAGGCGGCGGCGGTAGCAAAAATGACCCCGGGACTTTGCCCTGGCCGCTACCGTTGGGCTGCGAACAACATAAATAGAGTGACGCATGAAGGCACATCACACACAGACACACGCTCCCCTGCGCGGCCGGCCACTTGCTCCTGAGAGCGGGAGCTCCCGATGGAAGATGCAGGAGTGGGAGGGAGGGTCCTTTCCTCTGGGCACAGGATGGAGGAGGTGTAAGGCCTCTATTTGGTCTCTTGGGCGTTTCTGTCTCTTTCTTTTTTTTCCTTTCTCTTTATGAAGTAGTGGGAAGGAAGAAGGGGGATGTCCGACGGGTGGTTCATCCTTCCTTCCTTTATTTCTTTTTGAGACGGGGTCTTAATGTGTAGCTCTGGCTGGCTTCAGACTCACCATGTAGACCAGACTGGTCTCAAAAGCACAGAGATCCACCTGCCTCTGCCTCCCAAGGGCTCCGTTTAAAGGCGTAAGCCACCGTACCCAGCTAATTTGTCAATTCTTATGCAAGATGTTCTAGGTACAGAAATGAACCACCCAGCAATGTACACCACCAGGGCAGTCATGCCCCTGGAAGACCTGTCCTCATGGTGGGAAAGAGAAGCCAGCTCACCTCCAAGGTCCCAAAGGTACACACTCCCTCCATGGGCCTGGCTGGAGCTGGCAGACTACCCACAGGCTTGCCAACATCCACCCCATGGGCAGCCTGGCCCAGGAGGCCACCAGCACTGAGTCGCTCACCCTCCATTCTATCTCCAGCCGATCCTGTTCTCAGCCTGCTGGCCTTTTCTATAAAGATCAGCCAGTGAGGAAAATACGCCATTGGTGGCTCCAGCTTCTGTGCGGTTCTTCAAGAGTGATTCCCTGGATAACGCATGCCCTCGGGAGCCAAGGACATTCTGCCACCAAGAGTCATTCCTTGTCCTTTGTGCCTCAACTTGTATTTCTCCTCCAGGCCTCATGCCTGATGGTGCCTGGGTCAGCTTCAAGGATTCAGAGAAAGTGCGCATGCACCACAGGCTCCCCAGCCACTGGCAAGCGCTGTATCCCTGGAGAGAACTGGAACACGCCTCCTGCTGCGTGGGAGGCAGCCCTCAATGCTGCCTGCAGCTCAGGTGCAGGGAGGCCTGGCCCCAGCTCTTCTTCTCCTACGGAGTAAACTTCAGCCTTTCTGGCCAACTAGGCACAAGTCCTAAGGAGGTCTTTCTCTCTCAGGCGGCCCTCAAACTGGCAATCCTCCTGCCTTGACATCCTGAGTGCTGGAATTATAAGCATGCTCCACTCACCTGAGTGCTTCTCCGACTATGGGAGGGTAAACCCCAGAATACCACCTGAAGTCTCCAGCCAGCCATCAATCTGCCCTCACTCATCTCACTTAGTCGATGACAAGGAGACCGCAGGGGTCAGGGCATGGGGTCCCCTCTCTGCTCTGACAGTGAGTGGCTCAGCTCAGGGATCTGGGTGCCCAGCCATAGCCTAGACATTGCATCCATGCTGGGCCTGACCTTCCAACTACTCCCGAGGAACCGTTCTCACCTCAGGGCCATTCTGCTCCCCATCCCAGAAGATGCTGCAACATCCAGGGGTAGTTTTGAGGCCGAGAAGATGCTATTGGCATCAAGTGGGTACCTACAGATCCATATCCTACAGCACACAGACGAAGGCTCTCATCCTCCACTCAGAGCTAACAGCACTGTCCCTGGGAAACTCAGAAGCAAAGGAAGCTTTGTTCCACCCATTCAACAGCTGAGTACAGTGAGGTTCTGTGCAGGGAAGCGGTTCATTCACAGTTACCTACTACACTGGCCATGCCTGGAGGCAGAGCCCGACCTGTCTGACCCCAGAGCCTTTGACTTGCACCCCAAGTGCAAGTTAGCTCAGATTTCTCACAAATGTTCCAAGGTGCACTCTCTCCAAGAGGCACTCAAGGTCTCCATCCCCATACCCCATCTTTTCTGCTAGGTATTTTCAATACTGAGCTCAGGCTGAGCGCAGACTTGCTTACCACACAGTGCCCTGCCTGAAGCTCCTTCCTGCACCCCTCGAGGCCTGGTCTAAAAGCACCACACACCCACAAGGGGACCAGCCAGATTCTTTGAATCACCCTAGTCTCTAGCTGTCTTATATTTCTTGGACTCTGGGCCCTTTGTCAGGCATGGAAGCAGCTGTCCCCAGGCTCCAGCACACCAGCAGACTTAGGCAGCACTCAAGTCCGACAACCCAAGTGGGCTGTGCCGTCCTTTCTGCTTCAGTTCGTCTCCGTCCATCTTTATGTGGGTTCCTGGGATCAAACCTAGGTCATCAGACTGTGGCACTGTCAACTCTCCATGATGGCTGGACATCTGATCCTCCTGCCTCCACCTCCCAAATGCCAGGGTTACAGGCCTGCCCTGCCGTGAGCAGCTCTTGCTCTGCTCCAGTTACACCTGGCCCAGAGCTCTGGTTTTTCTCCTCACCAGCCTCTATCCCTAAGGACCTGCCCGATCTGACACACCGTTCCTCTGCAGGGTTCCTGCACACCCGAGGCCGATGGTTGAGAAGCATCTGACCAAACAACCTGTGGCTGTCCGGCACTCCTATCTGTGCCCGGACTGGGATCTTCTGTGCTAAGTACCCTTTTAGAGAGCAATTACGTGGGTCTAGGCAGCGTGAGGACCAAAGAGCAAGTTTTCCGGCTCTGCGGGGGTGCCATTGAGAGCCAAGCAGTAGCCTCTCCCCTCATACCCATGGCCTGTCTGGCTCCCATCCCGTTTTTCCCTCGGACAGGAAATAGAACAGTCTCATAGATCACAGCCTCATAGTTTCTCTCTGGGTTCTGAGCAGCTAGGACACAGCATGGAGGCCTCTGTCTCCTGCAAGTGTCTAAAAGGACAGCCCCACCTGAATGTGGCTAGTCACAACTTTCCTAATGATACAAGACAAGGTGTTAAAACATCGAAGTCTGTGGCTCTGAGGCAGGGGCCGAAAGGAGTATACACACTGGCCCAGAGGCAGGGCAGAAAGGAGTATACACACTGGCCTAGAGGCAGGGCAGAAAGGAGTATACACGCTGGCCCAGCACATCACTTGCCACTTACAGATGGTGCCATTCCTGCCTCCCTGAGTCGAGTCATTACCCCGCTGAGCCAGCACCTTCGCCACGTCCATTTGGCTGTCCCTTCGCTACCCCTCAAATACTGCTAGCCAAAACCATTCCTCCTGCTGAGGGGTATCACTTTAAGTGCTGTCTCCCTGTGATCTTCAAAACAAGTGCCCTAGACTAGGGTGAATGGGTAAAATATTAGGGTGCCTGGGAGCCTTCGGTAATGGTCTGTAATTTTCCCTACATGGTTAAAACACTGTTCTGTAACCTGGGCTTCATGAGGTGCTCAGGAGGGCGCTCCTTCAGGCTCCAGCTCGATTGTTCCTAAAGTGGGGTGCTCTGGCCAGAATTCTAGGAGCAGGAACCAGGGAAACACTTGGATTCTCAGGCTCCACCTCTGCAGAAACAAGTGGAATCTGAGGCCTCTGGGTCACTCTACATACACTAATCTGAGGGCGCGCTTCTGTGACGCTTCTGTGATGGCCGGCCAGGAGGAGCCCAGCACAGCCTCTGTTCCCCAATAAAGCAGCCTCTTCTCCAGCATGAGTGCATCTCTCCTCTGCAGCCCCATGGGCCCCTGCAGCAGGCTTTTCTCTTAGCTGCAGGTCACAGAGGAAGCCCTGAGAAGATTCCCTACTCCCTGCTGTTAGTTACTCTCAGCAAGGTGTCTACTTACATCTCTGTCTGCAGTCTCATGGAATAAGTACCTGTCTTGAGAAAATAACTCTAAGCAAAGTGAGTGTTCTCTGTTACACATGTTAGGTCACAGATGAAGCTCAGCACCAGCCCTCAGGAGACAGGAGCCAACTGATCGGTCCTTCAGTCGCCTGGGGTGAGAGATGGCTCTTTGCATTGGCCCCTAGGTCCTGCTCATCCGGACTCCAAGCCTGGTGAAAAGGCAAGCTGGTCAGCATCCCTCTGGAGTCTGTTCTATCTCTGAAGTGGTAAACAGGGGTCAGTTCTACCCTTCTGTCCCCCTAAGATATGCAGTGTTTAACCAGGAGGGCCACCAATGTGCTAAGGAGCTGGAGAATCGGCAAGAGAAGCCCTTGTGGGATAAAGTAGGGAAGAGAATGAGGACAGCAGAAGGGTGGGGATGGGGGAGCAAGTCAGAGCAAACAGGACCAGATCCAGGATGGACAGAGAGTCCAGCCCAGTCACATTCCAGAACCGGCAAACACCCGTTCTTCCCAGAGCGAGGGCCGCAGCTGCTCCTCCCGGACTGCCTCTCCCAACCTGATTTCTAAGCTCTTCGAACACCATCCTGCTGACTTCTCACAGCCAGGCTACCCACACTGATTGAGAGAGAGGCTGGGAGTCTTCATGCTGCTGGCCGCAAGGCTCTCCAGAGGTCTGGACCACCATATCCCATCTCATGACTCCTGGAGACTGAGCATGTCCCGCCAGCATCTCTGGTGTGTTATCATCCAGGCCCTGGGGCTGGCTAACAGAAAAGGAACCCACAACCCACAGGGCCCTCTGCCCCACAGCGCCATGGATCTGCAGGGCTCTGCTCTAGAGTCACAGCAGTGCGGGAGCCCTGAGGTAAGAGTCCTGGCGCAGGATCTTCACACAGGCCTCACGTGGCGCCCACTGAGAGTGGGAGATAGATTTGACGCCCATGACTAGGAAGGAGAAAGTAGTCCTGGCATCAGTTAGGTGGAGGCCAGGCAGGGATAGCTCCCAGAGTCCGGGGCAGTCTCTCGCCACAGAGGAGAAACAGCCCAAACGTCAACAGTAATGAGCCAGACAAACTCAAGTCCACAATCTGTCAAATCCCTGACCCCATAGATTTTAGAAAGGTAGGGGTCCAAGGCCTAGATTGAATGGACCAATTATAGGCTCATTCCTGCTGGGAACCAAGGGTCAATAGAAAGGGCGAGGAGCCCCTAAAGGGAGGGTTGGGCGGCTACCCACCTCTCCAGTCCCTATCAGACAGACCCTAAGACAATACTCAGACCCAGGCCCCAAGCCCACTAAAATTGCTCACAAGGTAGAGTCTATGGGCTCTTTGCTACTCCAGCTCCATGTATGCTCCTGACTTTTGTCCCTCTTCTCATGAGCCCTTAGACAGACAGACAGAAAGACAATCGGACAAACGGACGACGGACGGACACAGATATGATGCTATGAGGCCTCCAGTGCCCTCTGGACTCACCTGTCCAGTGGCCTGACCCGAGCCGTCAGAGCACACAAACTGCACAAACTCCTTCAGCGAGTCCTGCCCATGGTGGTGGTGGTAGCGGATGGTTGGGTGTGTAAAATACGGGCTCGACTGCTGGATGATGGACGTGGAGGGGAAGTGCAGGGCTGATGCTGTGGCCCGGGGGCTCCCTGTGTGCACAGAGGCAGGAGAGAGGAAAGGTTGTAAGGTAGCCACATGGGAAAGAAAGATGGGGTGGCGGACGGATTGAGGGTCCCGAGGCAGAATGGGGCAGAAGCACTGTGTCCGGCACAAAAATCCTCAGTCATCTAAATAAAAAAGAAACACTTAAATGCAATAAATAAATAAAAAAAAAAGCCCTGGCAGACTACTACCTGAGGGAGGGCCAGCTGCTTGCTTCTATAAATAATGCCTGACTGGAGCTGGGGGGTGGTGGTAGTTGAGGCAGGTAGGTAGCGTGCCACAAGTGCAGGGTTGGGTGTTATCAGCTTAAAACTGCCTGGAAGTTGGGAAGTTGTTTCTCTGGTTTGTTTGTGTTTGTTTGTTGAGGTGGGGTTTCTTGTAGCTGGACTTGATGACCTTGAGCTTCTGACCCGGCCTGTGTGTGTCTGGCTCCCTTTTATTCTCTCTTGCTTTGGTTGCTCAGTTTTCTTTTGTTTCAGTCCTGAGCACAGAGCCCAGGGGTCCACGTTAGTCAAGCTCTCTGCCATATTTTCTGCTTAGACAGAGTCACACAGCCTCCAATCCTTAATCCTCCTGCCTCAGCCTCCTGTGTGCTGGGATTTCAGGTGTTGGCCTTATCCTATGTTTTGCAACTGCTTCCGTGTTTTTTTTTTTGTTTTGTTTTGTTTTGTTTTTTTTTTAGGAATAATGCATTAATATATTACTTATCTTGAGGACTGAGTTTTTAGCATCCTTGACATTTTTTTTCTTGCATCCTTGGCAGACAGCTCATTTGCCCTGCCCTAGATGTGAGCCCGCCTGAAGGGCAGAGAGCAGGATACCATGGCTCCAGAGATTCCACACGGACAGGCCCTGCCTGTGCAGGCTGGGCACCTAGCACATAGACAACTCCGCAAGGGTAAGTGGGATCCGCAGGCCTCCTGCACGTGTTGGCCCCAACGCTGTGCTGTGCGCTCACAGTTCCCACCCCTGCGCAGGCCTCCTCGCTTCCCCGCGTTCTCCCCCTCCCGTCTGTTTCCAATCAGCTCAGTCTTGCTCTCGGTTTCATTAGGGGGCTGAGGAAACTTGGCTTCTCGCTGGAGTTCATAAAAATGGAGTGGAGCCTGCCTCCCTCCTGCTGCCGGCACAAGGCCTGGGCTCCCTGCCCCCATCTCGTGGCCACCACACCCTGCCCCAGTGCTGGCTGCCTCTGGGCTCTAAGCCAGGAGGCCCCAAGGAGGAAGCTGGGAGGTAAACCTCCCTGTTGTGTCCTATAGGAGAGAAGAGAGGAATGGCGGACCAAGGCCGTGTGCAAACAAAAGCCAGGCCTTTGCTGCCAGATGGGTGCTGAGGGAGCAGAGTAGCAAGCAGGGCACAGCCAGGTTCTCTGGAGGAGTGTTCCCGCCTGGCCCCACCCTTGGGAAGATTCAGCATCTTCTCAGGGCCTGACGAGATGTACCCTCAAAGCAACAAGACAGTCCTTTCCATGGCCCATCCCTTTTGCTTCTGGGGAAGGTAGGGAAGCCCAGAGTAGGTGCCAGTTTGCCCTAGGACAGACACCAGGAGCCTGGACTGCTGAGCGTGCTCTTTCTAAGCCGCAGAGGAGCAATTTGGCTCAACTACTTGCTGGTAGGGGAGGTGGAGGCTGCATGCAGCTCCCAGTGAGCATGTGCAAAACATGCACCCGACACAGACTTACACAGCCAGAGTTAGCGTGTGCGAGGAAATCTAGGAACCAACCGAGCAGGCAAACCTGGTTCTCAGAAGTACATGGCCGGTCACAGGCCACCCCACTGCTATGCCATGACTCCGCTCAGGGAGCCCAGATCTGTCGCTTAGAGTGAGCCCTGGCCCCTACTGTACCTGGCCAGCTGCCCCTTGCTGTGACTGCCTCCCGCAGTGTCCCCTGAAGCCCCGCCTCCATCTCTCACCTGGTCTGACTCCAGCAAGCACAGGCAGCGGGTGGTGGGTGAAAGCCATGCGTGGGGAACTGCCCTGAGAGGAGAGGGCGCTGCAGAAGTCCAGCTTTCCTGACTTCTTTAGAGAAGCAGGGCCTACGGGGAGGAAGCAGCAACACGCAGGTTTAGCTGGCTGGGGTGGGAAGCCAGCAAAGCAGCCCGCTCCTTCTCTCCCCAGCAGCCCTTCCTCCACCTCGGGCCCTGCTCTGCTCCTTCTGTGGCCTGACCTCAGGGGTGCGATCTGGCTATGGTTGCTTCTGAAACAGGAAAACGAGGCCCCTGGTGACACGGAGGCATATGCTGGGCAAGCGTGGCAAGGAAGGCATCCTGCTCCCTGGCAGCTGGTACAGGAGTACAGTGGGTGCAAGGCCAGCATCTAGCAAGGTATGCATGAGGAGCCCACAGGAGCTAGGTGGTGAGCCAGGGGTGGTAGACAATGAAGGGGACCAGAGGGACAAGGGTGGGACCTGGGACAAGGTGACCGAGTCCTAGTATACTCTAGCCTGAAGAGGAAGAGAAGGGAAAAGGAAAGCAGAGTTAGAGGCTCCAGAGGGTGCAACATCCACCATGAGAACAAAGACAGGGGCCGGAGAGCTGGGAGGATCCTGAGAACGAGTCGGAGGTCAAGAACTGCCCAGGCTCAGAGAGTGGGGTTCTTCTCTGCCCTGGTGCCAAAGGCAAAGATGGCATCCAGCCAGAGACAGGGGCACAAAAAAAAAAGACCCTGTTTGGGCTCTGCCTCTAAAGAGTCAGAGACTGCAAGCCAGTGCCATCCCTGTCCAGTATGTATAGCATCCAAGTAACAGGTTGGCAAGCAGGGTTCCCAGGGGCACATTCTTTTGGTATCTCTCTGTCCTGGGTTGAGCTTTGACGCCATGTCCAGGCTGACCAGGCAAGGTGGAGGTGAGGCAGATCTTGAGCTGCCGTCTTTGAGGGAAAAATCTCGTAAGTTGTGATGGGAATGTGGAGCTGCAGAGCAGAAAACCAGAGTTTCAACCACGGTGGGGTGGGGGCGAGCTCCCAGCGACCAGCAGAGGTGTTATCTGGCAGCAGCTGTGTGCCACCTGATAGCTGGCATGGTGAGGAGGGGGGAGTGCCCCACCAGCTGTGCACAGCTGTCCCTGCTGCTGCACAGCGCCTACCCAGCTGTTCCCATCCTGCAGCTGGGCTGCTTAATTGGCGATTTGTCGCAGCCCAGGGAAACAACGACAAGTTGGGGGGTGAGGGATCCTGGGGGCGCAGTGCACAACAGGGCTGCCAGAAGCAACAGAAATGGCAGGCAGTACAGCAGACAGAGAGCAGAGGCTGCAGAAGCCTGGCGAGGAGGGTCCTGAGAACGCGGACAGTCACTGGCAATCAGCAGGTCATCAAGATACCCTAGCAGCAATCCCTGTAGATGTCACCTGCCCAAGGCCAGGCGTGGCTGGGGTCTGAGATATGGCAGTCTCCAGTTTCCCAACTCCCTCTTTATCAGTGGGGAACCTCCAGAGAATCCCCTGGGGGGGGGTCACAATGACCCAGGCCCTGGCTGTCACGGGGAGGCGGGGACCTCCAGGTCATGCTGGGGTGCCTTTCCACGAAGCTCTAGAGAGGATCAAGTCCATTCCCTCAGCCCAAGCCCAGGAGGTAAGCTTTGCTGTCTTTGCATGGGAACCAGAGTCAATGCCAGGGTCTGCCCTGGCTCCCTCAGCCGGGTCTCTCTCTGCCAGGCAGGTTGCCATCAGATCAGACCCTGGTTCAAACAATGAAACCCAGTCCTTAGCCCTATCCAGAGTGTCCCCAGCTCCACTTAGAGCAGGCAAGTCCTCTGCACACTGCGCAAAAGCAGGTCCCAAGGCCTCAAGGACACTCTCTGGGCTTCTAGGCTGCCCACACTAGCAACCTGCATTGGAGCAGCCCATGGCTGGACTCAACAGGAAGTCAACGCAGTGAGGACTGGGAAGGTCTGGGCTGCTTCCTTTGGAATCTCTGCTCTCTGCTAGCTTCCTGAGACAGCTCTGCCCTTTCACTCTCAATTCTGAGTGTCTTTGTAAAGCTGGGCCCCAAGGCAGGGCTAGCCACCTCAAATCTGTCTTCCCGAGGGCATCTGGCAATGTCTGGGGACATTTATAGTTGTCCAAATAGGGTGGCCGGATGCGGTGATGCAGCCTGCAATCCCAACACCCTGGAGGTGGGGACGGGGCAGTCAGCATTTGAAGCCAGCCTGGCTATCACACAGCTAGGCCCTGTGTGATACAACCCATTGAAGAAGGGGTAGATGCTGGTTGCTGGCATCTAGTGGTGGAGTCGGGAAGGCTGCTGAGCACCTGATACCAGGGCAGCCCATGCCTCAGAGAGCCAGAAGCCTCAAATACAACCCTGGGCCCAGGTGGGGAACCACAAGGCTGGCCAGGTCTCTAGAGGCAAGGGGTCTATGAAAAAGAGACCGTGCCTTAAATAAATGGCACTATAGACTTGATAACCCTCTGCTCTGCCCACTATGCCTACAAGCTAGCTCTCACCCCACTCCCCTCCTTCGGCATGGCCTACCACCCTCAGGACTGAGAGTCTGTAAGTGCCACCTGACAAAAGAGAGCCTACGGAAGCCCAGGCTGCTATGTCGCGACGATCACTGCCATACCTGCATCCACGTCATTGGGCCATCCACTAGACTGGCTGCTGCCAGCTGCTGGGGAGCGCCCTGTCCCAGGATAGAACACATCATCAACCGGACTCTCCATCTCGCTGTCATCGATGGACTTGGGGCGTTTGGTGGTGCTGAGAAGGAAGAGAGCCAAGTGGGCCAAAGTCCAAGGAGAGTCCAAGCAGACACCAGGGACGAGGCTCAGGTTCTGTATGCTGGGGAGTGGCAGCCCACAGAAGCACTCCAGTTCCTGGGGTAGAACACCTTCAGATCTGCTCTCCCTCGGGTTACTAGAGGGCCCACCAGAGAACAGGCAAAACCGTCATCTGCCTTCTATGCCCCAGCCCAGCCACTGTTTCCTATCAGCTGTGCCATGAACCTTAGTCACAAGAGTATTGTAGGCCAACCGTGGGAGCCCACATCTGTAACCCTAGCAATCAGAAGGGTTTGCAAAACTCAGGAGATTTGCAGTCAATTCCAGACCAGCTCAGTGAACTTGTCTCAAAAAAATCAAAAATAAATAAATAGTAGAAAATATTCTAATGCAAGATTAAAAACAAACAAACAGCAAACACTTGAGAGATGGGTCAGCATTAAGAGTGGTCCCCACTCCCCTAAAAGGGTCCAAAAGACTTCTAGTCTCTAAAGTCCTTGGTGGGGATCATCCTGACAACTTGTCCCAGTCTGACTGAGAGGGAGGTTGCCTGGAGTCTCCTCCCACCAGCTTTGTCTGGGCTCAAATGCCATCTCTACAAGACAGGCCTTCTCTGAGCCTCACTTCCAGGCAGAGCCATGCCTTGTTGTGGGCTATATCCCATGAAGAAGCGCTCCATGGATGGCTGAGCATGACACGTGGTGGAAGTACTCCAGTCCAGATGCAGAGCTGCTGCAGCCATAGGGAGGTGGTCAGGAAGGTGAGGAGGCCACTGTCCTGGCTTACCTGGTGGAAGGAGGGGAGGTGATGGACCGCCGTCCCAGGGTCACTTGGTTTATGTTGTAGTAACTGGGGCTCTCCAGGTCTGCCAGTGAGAAGTTGGGCCCTGATGCGGTTGCAACAGGAGCTGGGAAGACAGAGAGATTGGTGAGGCCGGAATACGGTGTTGTAGACCCTAGAGGCCAGTTAGATTGCCATGAACCATTTCCCAGAAGCCCAGGAAGACCTCACTGTAATGTCTATGCTGCTGGGAAGACCCCTTTTCCTGTGGGATTTCCTGGGTAGGCTGTAAGGGAAGCGCCACTGGTTGTGGGTCGTCCCTGCTCTCCCCCCCAGCAGAGGTTAGAGACATGATTCTCTGGACAACTGCTTCTCCCATCTCCGGGTCAAATGGGCAGAGAGTTCCTAAGATGTCACCAACATAACCCTGTGAAATCTGAAAACCCCTGTGCCCTAGTCCTGGTCCCTGGCCCTGACAGGACACGACTTATCCTAAGATGTCACCGACATAACCCTGTGAAATCTGAAAACCCCCTCAGTGCCCGAGTCCTGGTCCCTGGCCCTGACAGAACACGACTTACTCTGTGACACTCTCACCAGCTCTGTCACATTCCAGACCCCGGAAGTCACAAAGCAGTCCTGGAAACTTAAGTGCCCTGAAGAAAGAAAATGGCTGGTGAGTGGAGCTGGAGCGGGACGAAATGCCGATCCATTTCCCCCAAGTTCTTCCCTGCTTGACTCCATCCCTCAGGTGTCCCCCAAAAGGGGCAAACACCAGGGGAAGCCTCCCTCCTTGGATGACAGCCCAAGTTACTGGATAGCTGAGTGAAGGGGAAGGAGAGTGGGGCGGGGCACTGACCGTTGGGCAGTGGTTTGATGTCCGCATCTCCTTGCTGGTTTGAACTATCTGATTGTCCGGATTCTGCAGAGAAACAAGAGGGGGAAATAATCAGGAGCAAAGTTTCATACAACCACTAGCCCAGCACCCAGTCTCCAGCCTTGGACACCCATCCCAGGCAACAGACCCCTTCACTCAGGCTCCAGGGCTAGCCTTGGACACCCATCCCAGACAACAGACCTCTTCACTCAGGCTCCAGGGCTAGCCTTGGATACCCATCCCAGACAACAGACCCCTTCACCCAGGCTCCAGAACTAGCCCAGGGAAACAGGGGAGAGGGAAGACAGTGTGTACTTTACTCCCAACTTTTGGACTGGATTGGTCAGTGAGGCAGGGGGAGGGGCATCCTGGGCAGGGTATGCCATGGCATCTCTGGCCTCTGCCTACTAGATACCAATAGCACCTTAGTTGTGACGACCCAAACTACCCCCAGAAACTGTTTAGTAAGCCCGGAGGGTCAGAGTCGCCATGGGCAGGTAGCCCTGATCAAGAGTCAGAAGTCAGGAGGACACCAAGGGAAGAAGCTGGTACCGGGCACTGTCCCTAACAAGGCAGACCCTGGGGATCTCCCTCTCCCACAGGGGTATTCCCATCCCTAAGTTCACTAATGAATGCTGTTCCTGTGGGCTTGTGCCCCCTCCATCTCACCTTTATGCTTACAAAGCAATGCCTGGCAACCCGGAGGGGGAGGTGTGCCCTGCCGCCACCCATTCTGTGCCAGCCTGTCTGGGTTGTCTCATGCCCCATTGCCACAGCTGCTCAGAGGGAGCCCTGAGACAAGGGCCTATTGTGTGGAGGAAGCTCACAGAGGGCTGGGGGCAGGGTGGAGTGTGTGTGTGAATATTTTGCAGAGCTTGAGAAAGCCCCCCACTCTCGCCCCCCAGGTCCTCCAAAGCTTTGTCTGTGCCAGGGGCAAGATGGGGACCTCCAGAATGCCTGCCTGGGCATGACAGCTGGTGAGAGGGTGGGGGTGCTGGGGTAGGTTGTAGGGCACTTGGTGAAGACTCAGCTATTCATAAAGACCATAGAGGTGGCATCTGACACTGGGCTCTGGTTCTGGCCATGGCTTTGCTGGGCTCCTTGCAGTGGTCCAGCCACCCCAAATCCACCCACAGCTCCATGTGCATCTTGCTGTCTCCCAGGAAGATTTGATGGGCCCTGCTCATCTGTGGCTGGGAGCATTGCCAGGCTCCTGGCTACTTCATGGCATGATGGGTAGAAGGCTATCATATTTTGGGGTCTGCTATCCTTTTCTTTCATCTCGTTCAATTTTTTCCTCTCTCTCATCAGTACTGGGGACTGAATTTAGGGCTTCATGCACACACGGCCCGAGCTCTGCCACTAAGTTATAGCATCAGCCCTTCAATATTTTCATAATTCCAAAAGTAATAGTACATCTTGCTATGAATGAAGAGAGTGGAGGTTACTAGGAAGGCGCCCACAAACCTCCCTCTCCAGTTTGAGGTGTTCCTCCTCCATGTCTTGGTGGATCACCTCTTTGTTCGGCATTCTCTGCTATGGAGGGGGCCTAGGGCCTTCTCCTCCAATCACAGACTGCATCTTGGGATCTCATTGTACCCTGGCATCATACAGTGTGGATTTTCTTCTTGCTCTCTGGATCTCTGGGTTTGATTCGAGTCCAAGCAGAAGCCAAGGGGTCTAGGTGGCAGGTGACCTATGCTAGGGCCTGCCTTTCTGAAACCCACCTTGAAGCTGCCTCAAGGTGCAGCTAAGGAAGGGCACGGCCTCAAGACTGGCATGCAGAGTCCATCAAAGGAGTGTGACACATGCTCTGTAGACTGCATGGATCCCGCCCATCCTGGGACCCACACAGCCCAAAAGACCTCCAGACCTGGGTCAGTTGGAGGGGGCTTAGAGTCCACCCCCTAGGAGTGCAACGGGCCCACTGCAAAAGGCCAAGGAAAAAGGGAGAGCTGCGTGCCTGTGAGTGTGCGCATGGGTGTGTACATACCCAGCCAAGGGACAGAAAGAGCAGAGAACGTGACAGAGAGATGGAGGTGCGCCAGTGACTCAGGCAGAGACAAACGGGGCTCCAGGAGAGTGTGACAGACAGGAAATCCTCTTAAACCAGGACACTTCCCCGAAGGGTGCTGCTGTTATTACTATTAGTTCATATTAAAGGAGCAGGCAGGAGAGGCTGGGGAGGACGAGGCCGGCTGCCACGCGCCACCAGGCGTGGCTCTGGGCGCTGCTGGCAGCCATTTTAGACCTTGGCAGCCATCTTATGGCTGGCGGCCCTAGCCAGCATTGCCACAATGCCGCCACCACCAGCCCCCAACACACTCAGCTCAGCTCCAGGACAAAAGGCAGAAACACTGGGAAGTCTGGACCTAGGCTCACAGGCAGAGGAGCCAGATCTACGATGAGGGCAGCTGCAGCCAGGGTCTTGCAGGTCTGTACTAACCTCAGCTTTTATGATCCCTGCCTGTGCCATGAAAGGGCAGGGAGGATAACACTGGCACTCTGGCAACGCCACAGCTTTGCTGAAAGGCAGCAGACGCCCTGACTACCATGTCTAGGCCCGAGGACCTAATGGTTCAGCGAGAATGGACCCCTGCCCAACACGGCTAAGGGTATCTCGGAAGTAAGGGAGATTAATTCCCTGTCAGCTCAGAGCACATCCTGAGTAGACACGAGATGGGGTTGGCAGTGAATCAGACAGGTCACTGGGTCCTCAGTGGTCAGGCTCTGGGGCCAGCCAAAGGACATCTTGCCATCCAGAGATGGGAGCCAGAGGCCAGCTTTTCCATGTGGCGGCTCTCTGGACTGCCTTGAAACAAGGCCTGTGCCTGTTTTGGATACCCCTAGGGACTGGCAGCTGGGCCCGGGGCAGTATGCCACGAAGTGTCTAGGCACCTTGACCCGTCTTCTGCCTGGGACTCTTGGGGGAGGTTATAACCTGGGATTCAGTACTGAGAGGAGGAAAGCCCCTTTGCAACAGCCCGTCCCCTGGCCCCGCCTCATAGCTGCTTGGCTTTTATCTGGCAGAATGGGGCTTATCAGAGCCACCAGCTGAACAAACACACAAATCCACGGTTAGTGAGAAAAAATACTCAGCCTGAACTCTTTATCTCCTGTTCACAGGCCTTGCACACTGCCCACTGCCAAAAGCACAAGAGGGGACCTGAGGCTGTGCAGTGGGGGCCGAGTTCTCTGCTCTAGAGACGGAGGGTGGCCTTCCCGACTCTGGCCTTGCCTCGTCTGCCTCTTCGCCTCAGCCACCTCCCTTCCTCCCTCGTTGTCCCGGGCCCACTGCCACTCTTCTCTAGGAGCTCCTGCCAGTGGGTAGACATTAGTGAGCTCCTGCCCACACAGAACCCCCTCCAGTGTCTGCTTTCTCGCTGGGGACAATGGGCCAGCTGGTGGCCTGTGGAACAGCAGAGGGACAGAGATGATACTGGCTCACACAAGACAGGCAGGTGCTGCTTCAGCTCCTATCCCATCCTGCCTGGTCCACACTGGACGCTGTGGCCATGTCCCCTGGGGGCTTTTCTTGCTTCAGCCTCTTCAACCTGGCTGCCATGGAAGCGAGGGCTACAGCTCTGGTCTCAGTGTCAGGGCAGTCAGGCCCAGGCTGAGAAAAGAAAAAAAAGCTCCTCCCTGCACCCACTTTACAGAGCCTGGGGCTCCTGCCACTTCCTTCAGAAAAGGAACCAGGACAAAGCCTTCACCACCTACCCTGGACCCAACCCAAGACAATTCAATGGTCTTCTAAGTCCTGGAGCTGAAGAACAATACTTTGCTCTGGGCTCTAACGTGTCTCCCACTCTGCCCTCAGAATGCAAATACCTGAAAACCAAGCCCTGCCCATGTTTGACGGATGCCCTGGATGGGCAGGTAGTTTGTGCCAGGTTTGGAGAGAGCTCACAGTTCATTCTGAGTCCTGCTGGGTGGTTATGGATCAGGCCACTGGTGACACGCGGTGCACAGTTCTTGTCTCTAAGGCTGCTCATACAAGCTGCATCTCTGAGGCAGAGACCACTCCTGCTAGCGGTCCTGGCTACTCTGCAGGGTTTCTGGAAGGGAGGCAGGGCTGTGAAGGAGCAGGTAAGGTGACAAGTTTGGATTAACTGGGCATGAACCCAAGAGGGTTTCTCAGATGGGCCTCGGCAGCAAATTCTTACCTGCTGACCACAGGTCATCCTGTCCCCTGCTGTAATAGCTCAGAGACCTCCATGTAACCGACAGTGGCCAGGATGGGCCCCTCCTTTCCCACATGCTCCTTAATGTCTCTTGGGATAGACAAAAAGCTGCCCATAAAGCTGCCCTTCTCATGGCACCTTAGCTCCACCCTCTCAGCCCCTGAGCCTTAACTGTGATTTTGGCTTTCTTTCTTTCTTTCTTTCTTTCTTTCTTTCATTCGTTCCCCACTCCCCATCATTCTCTCTCTCTGGCCCTGTACTTCTTTGTAATTCCCTTTCTTCCTCACTTCTGTCTGCTTGCACACACGTGCATGTATGTGTCTGAGAAGACTGTCTCTTAAGCAGAATTCTTGAGGGCAGGCTCTCATAGTCAGAACCCAGCATTGCCCAAAACCCTGATGTATATGTGTGTGTATATATATATCCCCTTCCACAGACAAGAATGTATTTATGGCTCCTAGCAAGTGAGGGAGGAATTCCTGCTCACTATAGCCAACACTCCATGGCTCCCACGCGAAACAAGCTCATTCTGCAAGGGGGCAGCTGCGTGTAGCTCGCTGGCCAGCTGCCTCCATGGACTTCACCCAACATATTCTTTAGGGGCCAGGAGGGGTGCACAGACCGGCCTCAGCTCTACTCCAAGAGTATACCTAGGTATGTGGATACACTCAAATGAGCACACTTGCTATACCCCCAGTCACGCATGTCACCTGCAGATGCCACCAGCCCCTTCTTATTGTCAAGAAAAGGTGGAATAAGATGGAACGCCCAGAGTCACAGAAAGGAACACCTCGACTATGCAAACCGTTGGTCCAGAAGCAGGCAGGGGTATGATTCCAGATCCTATTCCTGCCCTCCCCA